TTGGGAGGAACTGTAGCATTCTTCAATCTCTTCCAGCTTTCTATAAAGTTAATCTATACTCAGTTAGGAAGTATGGGTTTGTATCTCAATGATTATTAGAACATACATTTCCCACATCCAGTTTTCCACCAATTTCCACATCCATTATCCAGAAAACAATCTAATGTTAGAATAAATCATTCTAGTTTGATGCAGCATTTATTTCAGATGCATTCATGCAAATATACCATATAATTCTTCACTGTTCAATTAAAAAGATTAGTAAAAATATATCACAAATATGATTTATCAGGGGGAGTCTAATATTAATTAAGAGAAATGTTTATTTGCTTATCCTTGGCATAATGATATAAATATATGAGGGAAGATCATTACAATAAAAAGACAAGCAAACTGATTGATGCCATCATTTTTCTATGATTTTGTATTATTTAATGTAAAATGATGAAAGGCTCATTTTTACTAATATTTGAAGAGAAGTATATAGTGGATATAGAAAGTCTACACACCCTTGTTAAAATGCCAAGCTTTTGAGATGTAAAAAAAACAGACCAAGATAAATCACTTCAATTTTTTTTAATATTTTTAATATAACAAATAAACTGTACAATTCAATTGAAAAACAACCTGAAATCTTTTAAGGGAAAATAACAATAAAAAGCTAGAATAATGTGGCTGCATAAGTATTCACACCCTTTTGTAAGTAGAGATGTGGCTACATTCAGAATTAACTAAGCACATTTAAATTGCTGGTAAATAATAATACATACCTGCCATTAATTAAAGTGACTCTGATCAAGCCCATATAAAGTTTAGATGTTCTAGTAGGATTTTTCCAACATTTATTCGGTTGCCTCTTACAGCAAAAGCCATGGTCTGCAAAGAGCTTACGAAGGATCTCTTTGCTGGAAAGTATCAGTCAGGGGAAGGATGCAAAATTTTTTCCAAGGCCTTGGATATACCATGGAACTAGTGAAGACAGTCATTAACAAATGGAGAAAATATGGTATAGTGACATTAGCAAAAACAGGGTGTCCCTTCAATAGCAATAGCACTTAATTTTATCGCGCTTCACAATGCTTTTACAGCCCTCTCTAAGCAGTTTACAGAGTCAGCATATTGCCCCTAACAATCTGGGTCCTCATTTTACCCACCTCGGAAGGATGGAAGGCTGAAGCAACCTTGACCCTAACTGCCAAACTGCTGGCAGCCGGTAATCAGCAGAAGTAGCCTGCAGTACTGAACTCTAACCACTGCACCATCGCAGCTCAAAAAAACCAGAAAACTGATATGAGATCTGCCAAGAGGTCTGCAACAACATTAAAGGAGCTGTAAAAAGTTCTGGCAAGTATTGGTTGTGTACCAAAGGTGCTTTTGGTTGTGTGCTATATGTGACAACTATCTTTCAGATTCTTCGTATGTCTGGGCTGTGTAGGGTGGCAGGATGGAAGCATTTTCTTATCAAGGAAATCATCCAAAGCTGGTGACAGTTTGCAAAAACCTACATCATGTCCGACAAAAAGCATGTGGGAAAATGTATTATAGCCTGATGAGACCAAGACTGAACTTTTTGGTCATAATTCCAAAAAGTATGTTAGGTGCAAAAACAATACTGCATATTTACCAAAACTACACTATACCCACAGTGAAGCATGGTGGTGGCAGCATTATGCTTTGGGGGTGCTTTTCTTCGGCTGAAACTGATGCTTTAGTCAAGGTGGAGGGAATTATGAACAGTTCCAAATATCAGTCAATTTTGGCACAAAACCTTCAGGTCACTGCTAAAAATGTTGAAGATGAAGAGGAATTTCATCTTTTAATTCTACAACAACTCAAAGTATACCTCCAAATCAACAGAATGATTTCATCAGAAGAAGATCAAAGTTTTGAAATGGCCCAACCAGGGCCCAGATCAGAATCCAATTGAAAATTTGTGAGGTGACCTGAAGAAGGCTGTGCACAGGAAATGTCTCTGATAGATTTGGAATGTTTTTCAAGGAAGAGTGGGCAAAGATTCCTAAGGCAAGATGTGTCATGCGGATAAGCCCCTAACCCAAAAGATTGAAGGCTGTCATAAAATCAAAAGATGCTTCAACAAAGTATTAGTTTAAGGGTGTGCATCATTATGCAGCATTATTCTAGTTTTTATTTCCTTACTTAAAAGATTTCAGCTGAATTCTACAGTTTATATACGCATTATATTAAATGTGGAAAAAAAATCTGATTTATCCTTTTTTTTTACATCTCGAAAACCTGGCACTTTAACAGGGGTTTGTAGAGTTTCTATATCCACTGTATCATAAATCTAGTCATGTCCTCATGAGAGTTAATTATTTTAATGCTTTCTTTTGAAGGAGCATGAGATTTTTCTGGTTGCAGCATGGAAATTATACAATGCATCAACTGCTAGATAATAATTTAAATGCTATTTATCTTTTTCAAAAACTAGTTTTGGAATATATTAAATATTAAATATAAGTATAACATTTTAATATATTTTAATCTAATATAATTTAATAATGATAATAAATAAAATTAAAAATAAGGCACAAAAATAGAGTTGAAAATATTTTATTTTTTTAGCGTAGATTGGTAATATATAATTTTCAAATTCCATTTTCTTATGAGACAGGTTCAACAAATAAACTATGAATTTTATATGGTCAGTGCAGAACTGAACAGTTATAGAACATGATGTAAGATATAAATTTCCATTTCCAATTCATTATTGTTAAACATCTTGCAAATTGTTGTGAACATCAATAGCCTGTCAGTCTTGCATACTTGTGCTTTTCTGCCTCTTCTTTTCTCCACTATACTTTTGTAAGCTACAGAAAAAGCATCTCCCTAAAACTGAGATGTTTCAATGGGAAGGGGAAATTCCAGAAACAGTTTACATTATCAAAGCTCCACATGTTCTAAGTATCTCTAACTGACTTCCAACTTCAAAAATTTCCTTAGGGTCCCTAATCCCCAGATGAATTTCCATTTATTTAATATCTAGCTCTAGATTCATTACTGTATATTTTCCTTATTAAGAAAACACATCTGAAGGGTACATTTGGTAGAGCTCAATATAAGAAGAAAGTATTAATTAGTAAACAGATGCTACTTTGTTGAAAGAGATATCATACAACCTAATACAATCACTAACATAATTTGATCTTTGTACTCTATGTTCCTATGGTCATTATAGTTACTGATTTTCTATCTGGATTTGCTTATACTTTGTTTAACTACTTTTGTAAGCTTCTCTTTCTTTAAGAACTAGTTTTAATTGTTGATGATTTGGAATATAACTTAAAACAAATCTATCAATCCATATTATGTATAGATTTTTCTTTATAGTATAAATTACTTAAACTAGAAATTACTGGATTAAGTTTACAGGATTAGAAAGTGTGAAAGTATTGGATTATGTAAAGAGTGTACATAAATTATTTTCTAAAAATTGTTTTAGAAATATAGCACTAACTATACTAGCAGTATTTTGACTGTTAAATGTTAAAAAACTATGATCCTAAATTTGCTCATTTTATTCTATCTTAATTATCTGACATGACTTGTAAAGAATTTTCCTGAAAGGTAGGCTTCCAAAATAATAAATCTATTACCTTTACAATACAGTGCTGTACAAATAGAAGCATAGATAAAAGAAGGGAAGGAAAGGAAATTGTTTGTCTTTTAGACAAAGATCTTTTTTACATTTCTAATCCACTCACAAATCCCAGCAACAGAGTTGTGAGAAGCTGAGTAGTGAGAATGTGAGCAGCTGCTGTTATTAGAACTAAAAAGTCTGACTAGTGCCTGAGACGGAGAGACCACATGTTCGGCTGTCCTCTCATCTTGCCATCCTCACCAATTAACTATTAACACGGAGGGCTGGACACATGCTCTTGGGAGCTCTTTAACAGGCTTCTTGGAGACTGGAACAACTACACAGCAGGGCTCTGGGAACTGAGTAGTCTGTAATATAGGAAAACCTCAGGCGCTTTGCTCCTCCTAATGACAGCTTGCTCTGCAATTTAAGCACTCTATTAAGTTATGTGTTAACAGAGAGGAGGTCCTGGAAATTTAACTATTCCTAGAAACTCTTTAAGTTTCAACCCATGGAACAAACATATCACAACTATTAAAACAACTATTCCCTATTCCCTGTCTAGAAACAGAAAGACAACATATGGGATCATAAAGCCAAATCACCAACATAGTGGAGAACATTTCAGAAACTTAAAACAGAATCAGAATCAAGATATCATCTTTTGACAGAGGGGGGCTAGTTTCAGAAACATAAAATTTGATTGTTCATTAAATTGGTAGATTCCCAAATATTTGTATTGCTCTCTTTAGAAAACAATAATCTTTTGTTTGATAAAAAATAATTCCTACAGAATAAATTATTAAAGGCACATTACAAATGCAGCACCATCTTCCATTTTCCCTATTTCCTTATCCTGGACCATCCCATGCAGCTGATCCAATATCATTCCTTAGAATGCCTTTGCTTTCTGCAGTGGCCATTTGAAGAAAGCAAAAATTCCACTGCAAGATAGAATTACACAAATAATTCTCTTTACTGAATCATTATGAAGTACTAGAGAATGTTACAAAAAACCCACCCCAGTTTAATTTGGCTATACGAAATAAAAAGGAAATTGAAAATTATCTGCTAGTAAACGAAAATGGCCACCACAAAATAGGACAGTGGTTCTCAACCTTTTCTTCACCACGCACCCCCTTTAAATACCTTTTGTGGCCACTGACCATGGCCACAGATACCCAAGACATAACTCAAGATTTAAATCATAACATTTCTCCAAGCCTTTGCGGACCACTTATGATGATATCGCACTCCCTCAATGGTCCACGGACCACAGGCTGAGAATCACTGAAGTAGGACATTGAGTCATATTCTCCTAGCCTAGCATGTTCTGATTACCAATAATCCACTGACCTTGTTTATCTAACAGGATTGATTATAGTAACTGGATTAAACCTACCTGGATCAGATAAGTTGGAACAGTGATGATGCAGACAGATAATGATGTTCTCAGTAGGCCACGTAGAACATACATAAATTTGGTGAGGCTGTGCAGATTTTCTGGATTTTCAGTACAACAGATATCATCACCCCATAATACTGAACCAAGGCTCTGAATTCCTATTCTCAACACATTCCTTTGTTTTTTCTATCAAATATGAAAAAAAGAAAAAGGATTTTAGTGGAACCTGAAACTTTAAGAAGAAAAAACTAACTTTGGGGCAACTTGCTATTTTATATGCAATGAAGAGAAAGTAACTTCTGAGTTAAGAAATATAAATGCAAAACAAACAAACAAACAAAAACCCACAGTTGCCTTTCCAGCTGGCCAATTTAAGTATTCCAATAATATCTAAATAAAAACAGTATTGAGAAAAAAACAATTGGGATGTTTTTGGGGATACAGATACGTATTACAAGTGTCTGGTGTAATATACATATTATACTACTGTTTCATTAAAATGTCAATAACTGTGCTTGAAGTGACTATAAATAATTATATCAATACATTGATTTAATAAAAATAAATAAAATATGTTATTGAAAATTACCTTGCAATTTGTTTCATTTAAAAGAAAAAAACTAAAACATTGCTTCTGGAAGTTAATTAATCCAACATTTAGTTATGGAATGGAAGACCTCAGAGATCTTTTCCAACTCTGTTAGTTTCAATTATTTATTCATTTAATTATATTTGGTTTTGATTATACAACATACACACGCACAAATTATATTTGATTTTTATTACTTAAGATAGGCAACCATATAAATCTTTTAAATAAATGAACATCTATACATAAATATTACTATTTTATCTTTGTCTAGGCTGCCTATTTCTGTGGGTTTTAACTGTCTTAAATTTAATGTTTTTAGATTTTGTAAGCCATCTAAAGATTCTTGAAGTGCATACCATAACAAATTAATACATTAAAATTAATTAAATCTTTGAACCAGTTAAATATAACTTATAGTCCAAACGGTTATACTGGTTTTCTAGATTAACTGGTAAAGGAAAAAAGGGAACTACAACAAATGATTTTTTTAAAAAAAATTAAAAACATTTTTGATGTTTACCACATGGTGTATAACTTAATTTTAATAATTAAAATATCTCTCTGAAATATAAAGTATATTTTTTTAAAAAAGCCAACCAATTAAAGTAATGAAATTATCCACTGATAGGACTCATCTGCAAAAAAGGATCTTTACCTTCTGAAACCAGCTTGTTCCTGAACAGATTTTAACTACTATAGATTTCATTTTTCTCTTCATAATGCTAAAATAGGTTTGATATGGAATACACAGATCATGATTTTAACCTTACTTTTTTGGCAGCATTACTGTGTTGAGCACACTTCATGGAAAGACCTGATACAAAGCTAATAAATAAAATGAATATAGTAGAAGAAAATATATTCCTTATTCCCTCCCAATTTTCATTTATCTATCTTTATACACACACACGTGGGGGGAGGAGTTTATGCATAAATAAAATATTTCATTTTTATTGAAATATTTTATATTGATTGTGAACTGCTGAAGGAGAACTGTTACAGTATCCTCAAAAGTGAGGTATAAATGTAAAGCAATAAATAATACATTACACATCTCTCTAGATGATATTTTCTGAAGATGATCTTCAATCAAACATGGATAAACTTGAAAATATATTGCTGCTAGTGTACTTTAACAGAGTTTACATGGGACAAAATGTCCAGTCACAAGAATAGCACTGTTTTGATTTCAAGTAAATACATATGGAGGAAATGTAGTTAAGGATTTCAGTGTAAAGTTGAATTATATTCCTAAAAAATGGATTTTTTCATGAGCTTTGAGGCTGGGGTATGTCAAAGAAGATAATCCTATACAAGTGGAAAGAAACTCACTCTCCTGAATTTAAGGAACAGAACCAGGCTAAGAGTATGTTTTTTTCTTCTAAAATTCAGATGACATAATTTAGTTAACAACTGAGAGACTATACTTAAATACTCTTTTTATCTCTTTTGCAGTATCAAGGGAAAACAAACAAACCTACCTCTTTTCCAGAAATATCTTATTTGCTATCTGCTGTCAGTATTTTCCTGTCGCTTTGGTGCAGTTGCTCCTAATATTCTATGAATTTCTGCTTCCAAAGGACCTGTCATCATGTTTGGAGGAACAGCTCAACATGCTGTACTAGGAGAACTGTTACGACATGCCTGTTGCTATGGCAACCAAAGCAGAGGTGCCTGTCAGGGACCAATTTACTTATCCAGAAGGGCACTGCTACTTCTAAAGGAAAAACCTGCTTACCCATAAAGCTACGTGTAAGCTGAGAATTAAATTAAACAGGAAAATTCTGCTTGACAAATACAAAAATAAATAAATAAAACCAGAGAAAGAATGTAAAATTGTAAGGAGAAATTGATCAAAGGTTCAACTGCTAGAGATTAGCAGTATCATATTTTTAAGAGAATGAGATAGTAAAGTTAACCCTTTATGCACTAAACATTTGTATTTTTTCCCAACCACAAATATACAGTATATAAATGAAAAATGTAAGTATCATCCATGAACTCTCATACTGTAAGTTGTCATTGAAAAACAAGTAATATGAAATTGTTATCAGTCCTTGGAATCAAACATATTTGTTGCTGAATCATCCATTCAGACATTATAAAATGTGTGTATCTTATGCTTCTAAATATATGAAGAAAGTTTAATACCTGCAAAGTGGACCCATTATATCCTTGTTGAAGAATGACTTTCTGAATAGAATGAAGCAGTCTGGTGTAAGCACATGCCTTATTACTAAAGAGAGAATCAGAATATTATTTAATATATTTTTATATTAGCTGAAACATTTAAACATTTTACAAATGTAAGAGATAAGAAGTAAATGTCTTTAAACAAGTTAACAAATGCTCAGTGTGGCGGCAGATAAAACAACTATTCTGGTTGTTTTTAGTTTCTGTATTTCCAGCACTTTAGTTCACCAATGAGCTATGGAGAGCTACTTCAATAAAGCAAGTGAATTCATGTCATTATTGACCTGAATAGGCTTATCTAAATCTACTACCTAGAAGATAGATGAATACTCCAGCCTCAGTTCTGCAATTCCCACAGCACTTCCAAATTTCTGTGAAGTTATCACAGTAACCCCTGGAGGATTATACATTGTGTATTAGCTATGCTTGTGGAAGTGCTATTCCTTTCAGACATAAATGTGGGAACTCTCTAGATCTGGAGAGAGTTTTGAAACTCAGAGTTGAACTAATAGTTCCTTTTCTGCATGCAGATCTCCACAGCCTTTATTTTATGATTCTGTCTCCAACTACTGTTGTTATACAACCAGGTAGCTAAAACATATCAGGTGGAGGCAACTTGATGTTTTAATGGCTAAGTTCACTGAGATGAAAAAAACCTACACACGACATACTTTATTAATTAATTAAATTTATATGCCTTATCTCCCTGATGAAATGACTCTGGGTAGTTTACAGACCAGATTGTAAGTCAGGTTGTCCATGAGTGTTTTTTCTTCACATCTCAATAGTTGTAATTCCATTAATTCGAAGCATTCATCCCCACCAAAAATGCAGCATTTGATATAGCTCGGGGAAAGCAAATTCTCCACCAGAACTATATCTCTTTCCTTCAGAGTGATTGCTACAATCAGCTCTTTTTTTCCTCCACATAATTCCTATTCCTTCATTCCTTCCCATATATCATACTTACATACTGATACTAACATAAAAGTATTTCTAACAATCAAACTCTGTGTGTATTATATTAATAGGGTTTTCCTTATTTTTAATTTGTTGTCTAACAGTGAGTCAAATCTTTAAAGTAGGCTATAACAAATATTACAGTTGGCTAGTTAGGAGAGTTAACCATATTAGCACGTTCTGGGCAAGGAGAAAAAGAGTATCTATCAATAAATTAACAAGACTGCATTTTTTTCAAACCCAGTTTTCGCAATTAAGAGGTGTAGTCAACATAGAGTGAAAATACTGGCAAACTGTGAAGTGTTTTACTTGTGTTCTTGGCCAGTCAATATATTTTTATAATTAGCCTTCTTATCGGCCCAAGAATTGTGAACTCACCATGACTTTTCATCAATATCCAAGCCTGGTTCTTCAAGAATAAAAAAACCATCCCATTTAATATTTTGGATTAGTTCTGGAGCCATTGTTTTAGATAAATCAAAGTAGTGTCCAAATTTTGAAAAGGGTATGTGGGTTACCTGTGAAATACAATGAATGTTATTCTCTGAAGAATAGCATATATTATACAATTTGTCAATGATTTTAAAAGGCCAAAGTGGTCTAGTGACATCTAATTGTTAGGGTTCATCATGAATCTGGGTAATCAAAGCCATCTACAAGTAGTTCTCGATTTATAACAGTTCATTTAATGACCATTCAAAGTTACAACAGCACTGAAAAAAAGTGACTTATGGCCATTTTTATGGCCAAGTTACAACATCTGCAGCATCCCCATGATCATGTGCTAAAATTCAGATGCTTGGCAACTGGTTCATACTTATGACCGTTGCTGTGTCCCAAGGTCATGCGATCACCTTTTGTGACCTTCTGACAAGCAAAGTCAATGGGGAAGCCAGATTCACTTAACAATTGGGTTACTAATTTATCAACTTATAATTTATTAAGTGATTCATTTAACCACTGTGGCAAAAAAGATCGTAAAATTGGGCAAAACTCACTTAACAGATGTCTCACTTAATAACAGAAATTTTGGGTTCATTTGTGGTTGTAAGTTGAGGACATTCTACTTGAATCTGATGCTGAACCTGTTTCATTCAGGATTGTTCAGAGCTAAGATATTTCAAAACTCCTAAGGAGGTTTACAATATGTAATATTTATTACTGACAGTGATAATCTAATACAGTATAGTAGGCTTAAATAGAAAGCTTATTATAGCTATTTTAATGTACTTTTCTGTGATGAGATGCTGACATATTCAAGTCAGCGTTTTTTATAAACCCAGACAAACAAAAAGATTGAAAAGAAAAAGAATTGTGCACATACAGTCAAATAAAAAGAGAAAGTACACTCTCTTTGAATTCTCTGATTTTACATATTAGAGCATAGTAAAAATCTTCTGGTCCTTAGCAGTTCTTAAAAGTAGGTAACTACAATCTCAGATGAACAACAACACATCACATTTTACACATCATTTATTTTAAAAATAGGAAACCAAAATGGAGAAGTCATGTGTGAAAAACTAAGTACATCTTATGATTCAATAACTTGTAGAATCATCTTTAGCAGCAATAACTTGAAGTAATCATTTTAGGTATGACTTTATGTATGATCAGTCTCTTGCATTGCTGTGGAAAATTTCATCCCATTCTTGTTTACAATATTGCTTCAGTTTTCAGGTTTGTGGGCATTTATTTATGCACAGCTCTCGTGGTCCCACTACAGCATTTCAATTGGATTGAGGTCTGGATTTTAACTGGGCCATTGAAACTCTTGATTCTTTTCTTTTTTAGTCATTCTCTTGTAGATTTGCTAGTGTGCTTGGGATTACTGTTCTGTTCCATGACCCAGTATCGGCCAAGCTTTAGCTGTTGGACAAACTTTCACATTTGACTATAGAATACTTTGGTATATAGAGGAGTTCATGTGTCATGCCCCTGTCGGAGCCTGAATTTGCGGAGGAAGATGAGCCAGACCTGGAGTCAATGGAGATTGAAGGGGCCGTTTCATTGGCTTCGGAGGAATGTGGGGAAGAGCAGGCCATGTCAGCCCAGGGCCATTCAGTATTGGGATGGCTTGTTAGCAGGGAGGAACGGGAGCAGGATGATCGAGAGAGGGCAAGCAATGGATATGAGGGGCGACAGAGCTAAAGGTGATGAGCTCCTGATCCCCAAGCATGGAGAGTGGAGAGAAGGCAAGATCCTGATCCCCATGCAGGGAGAGTGGAGAGAAGGCAGGAACAGAGTAGGCCAACCTGACAACTTGGGAGGAGAGCACACCGCCCCTCTTCACAAGGCACTCCTGGGAACTGAGATTTAAGGAGAGGCTATGGGGAGGGGCATTTGTCGTTTGATGGGAGTGTTTGAGGGGAAATGTGGAGCTTTAAAGGGGATTTGAACTCCACGCTATGTGACCTTCGTGCCTTGTCCTGGTTGACTCAATAACTGCAAGATTTTCAGGTCCTGTGCCTGCAAAACAAGCCCAAATCATCATCCCTCCTCCACCACCATGCTTGACAGTTGGTATGAAATGCTTGTTCTATTCTTTTGCATTATGGCTTTTGCATTATGGCCAAACATATTCTGTGTTTGGCTTTTGCATTGTGCATTATGGCCAAACATCTCCATTTTGATCTCATCTGTTCAAAGGACAGTGTTCCAGAAGTCTTGTGATTTATTCAGATGCAACTTTGCAAATCTAACATATGCTGCCATATTCTTTTTAGAGAAAAGAGGCTTTCTTCTGGCCAGCCTTCCAAACAAACAATACTTGTTCAATCTCTTTCTAACAGTACCGTCATGAACTTTAACATTTAGCATACTAACTGAGGCCTGAGTCTAAAATGTAACTCTTGGAGTTTTTGCAGTTTCTCTGTGCATTGCATGTTCTGACCTTGGGATGAATTTGCTGGGACATCCACTCCTGGGAAGATTGGCAACTGTCTTTAATGTTTTCCACTTCTGAATAATCTTCCTCACTGTAGAATGACAGATTTTAAATTGTTTGGAAATGGCCTTATAACACTTCCCAAATTGATGGGCAGCAACAATTACTGCTCTAGATGATTGCTGATGTCTTTCTTCTTTGGCATTATGTTAACACACATAATGCTGGAGACCAGCACAGTTTTAAAACTTTGGCTTTTATAGATGTAGTCACACTTGCTGATAATAAATTGATCAAGGGCACTTGATTAGCAGCACCTGGCTGCTACTTAGACTCTTCTTACTGATGGAAGCTATAAGGGCGTGCTCAGTTTTCCACACGTTTCCCCATTTTGCTTTCTTTTTGTAAAATAAATGATAAAACAGTGTAATATAGGGATGTTAAACTCAATTTGATTGAGGGCCGCATCAGGCTTGTGTTTGACCTCAGGGGGCTGGGTGGGCATGGCCAGCTCAATGTTACTCATGTCAGGGTGTCTGTGTTGGTCTGAGTGCTCTGCCAATGAAAATGGAGCTTGGAAGGTCCATTTTCCCTGGCAGAGGCACCGTGGACCGATCCTTGGCTGTTTCCAGGGTGTCCTGTGGGCCAGATCTAAGCACCCTACAAGCCGGATATGGCCCACAGGCCTTGACTATGACACCCCTAGTGTTTTCACTGATGATGTAAAGCTATTCAACACCACCGACAATACTGCTACCCTTCAAAAAGACCTTGACTATGTATCAGAATGGTCAAACAAATGGCAACTTCAAATCTCAACAAATAAATGCTCTGTCTTACATATTGACAAAAACAAAAAAAACCAAAACAAACAGAAAATAAAATACAAGCTGAATAGTCAAGACCTTGTTGATGATCCAAACTCTGTCAAGGACCTTGGAGTACTCATATCAAATGATCTAAAGATCTAGAGCCCAATGTAACTACGTAGCCAAAAAGGCATTAAGAGTTGTTAAATTAATCCTATGTAGCTTTTTCTCTGTTAGTATCATATTACTAACTAGAGCATACAAAATATTTGCTAGACCAATACTTGAATACAGCTCATCAGTCTGGAACCCGCATTAAGTATCTAATATTAATACAGTTGAGAAAGTCCAGAAATATTTCATAAGAAGAGTTCTCCACTCCTCTACTCGTTGTAGAATACCTTATGCCACCAGACTTTAAATTCTAGACCTAAACAACCTAGAACTATGCCGCCTTCGGTCCGATCTAAGTATAGTACATAAAATTTATTGCATATATTGCAATGTCCTACCTGTCAATGAATACTTCAGCTTTAACCATAACAATACAAGAGCACACAATAGATACAAACTCAAGGTAAACCGCACCAAACTTGATTGCAGAAAACACGACTTCAGCAACAGAGTGGTCAATGTCTGGAATACTCTACCTGACTCTGTGGTTTCTTCCCCAAACCCCCCAAAATTTAACCTTAGACTGTCTACTATTGACCTCATCCCTTTCCTAAGAGGTCTGTAGGGGGTGTGCATAAGTGCACCAACATGCCTACCGTCCCTGTCCTACTGTTTTTTTCCCCTTATATGTATCCATTTCATGCATTCATAACTATGTTTATACTTATACCTGTTATCTTATAATCACTTGACAAATAAATAAAATAAATAAATATGTCATGTATTGTTGTTAATCTGAGATTGTATTTACCTACTTTTAAGAACAGCTAAGGACTAGATGATTTTTACTATGTCCTGATATGTAAAACCACGGAACCCAAAAAGAGGATGTATTTTCTTTTTACATGACTGTATATTTATATTAGTCTACAAAACTGGATTTAGGCCCTGGCTAGCTGAGGAATCACCTCTCTGCCACTGTCTTTGTTAATATGATCTGACAGAATGGCCTTGTTCTAGGTTCTATCTTTAAAACTGTTGCTGATCTCAGGAATAATAAGCCTCTGTAGCTTCATGTAGCCCCAACCTTGCTGAATTTTAGATGAACTTTGAAGACCTGGCTCTTTTCCTACAAGAATATTAGTCTTTTGAATGAATTATATCAATGTGTTGGGTATGTGGGTCCCAGGGTTATCATCTTTTTTCCATTATTGTATTGTGCTTTAATTTGTGTGCGGGCCAGAATTGTTATGCATTGAGCAGATTTATAAATCTGATTGATAAATATTTTAATTCCTTACTAATTCTTAACATTCAAGTAAGATACAACCTAAGCAAATTTATGTCCCAACTTTCTAACAAAGCTATCACTGTAATGTATATATTCCTTTTGAAACATAGAATCATAGATAGCAAATGCTCTCCAGTAACAATGAACTAGAACAGTGGTGGCTAACCCTTTTGGGCTCCTGTGCCAAAAATCGTGCGTGTGCTTGCTCATGTGCGCTCGCATGCCAGCACCCAGAAGGCAATGCGCATGCCCCCTGTGCTTGCGCATGCCCCCTTACCTGCACTGCATCTCCCAGTTGATTTTTGGCCTGTTTGAGGCCTTTTTCGGCCACCCAGGCTTGAGGAAAGCCTCTGAAGCCTGAAAAATAGGCCCGTTTCATCACTTCCGGTATTTCCAGAAATACAGGAAGTGATGAAACAG